GCCCCCCCCCCCCCCCATTACCTTATTCAGGGGGTCGTGCAGAAGAGATCATACATACCCAGTGATCCAGATGCACAGGCGGTCCTGTGCTGTCATCTCCGTCTCTGATGTCATCAGGGGGCCGGCTCTCTCTTCTGGGTTCTCTGCGCTCTGATGATGTGCATGCGCCATGGTGCTTCATTTCATCAGGGGGCCAGCTACAAGATCCAAGCATAGACAGCAAGCCCCCTGATGACGTGCCACGGTGCATAGGCCATAGATGACCCCCAGACCTCCTGGGATGCACAAGGGGGTTATGCCAGGAGGCTGCAGGTGCATGAGGTTAAAATCCAGGAGCTGTGGGAGGGGTTCCCCCTCAAAAAAAAGTATAATAAAACAAATGATAGGAGGGTGGGGGTCTGCTTAAGTTTTTTTTTAAATTTGCATTTTTTTAAAATACATGACTAAATGCACAACTTTTTAAAGATGCGCATAGAGTGTTAGAACCCCTGCCAGGTTTTTATTGCTATGGAAAGGTGAAAGCGAGGTGCTGGGTACAAATCTTTGGTGTCACTTAAATTTTCAGGGGATGTGATGGTTCTGGTTTGCCAGCTCTCCACAAAAAAAGGGGAAACTATTTAGATGGGGGGATTTAGAGATGTGACCTATAGTTGAGAATCCAGGTATATACAGTCAGGGGTAGGCAACCTTGGCACTTCAGCTGTTGTGGATCTACAAGTCCCATAAGGCATTGCAAGACTCTGACAGTCACAGGCATGACTCCCAGTGGCAGAAGCATGCTGGGATTTGTAGTTTTGCCTCAGCTGGAGTGTCAAGGTTTCCTAACACTGGTCTAATGAGAGCCCCAAACCAAGGAGCAAGAATCCAAAATCTTTAGAACCCCATTCTGGGATAGTTTTGTCTCCCCTCCTACCCCTCCTCTATCCCTACCCAAGGATTTTTTTTTCTTACCTCCTTGAAGCAAATTATAGTCCCCCTTCCGGGTCCCACGCAGCTGCTATTTCCGGGTGTGCGGGGGACCGCTATTCCGACACTGCAGATGCGCCCGAGACAAAATAAGTTTTTGCTTTACATCAAATTATAAGATCAAGGCTTGAAAGATTTTTTTTTTAGGGACAGATAGAGCTTTCTTTTGGAGGTATTTAATCACCACTGTGATTTACTATATAATGAAAAAAGTACCGTAAATTTCGAACAAAAAAAAAAAGTTTCCCCTACGTTATGTTAAAAAACGTTTTATTCTTACCCATATTTTCGGTAAAATATAAAAGACGGGGTCACGTCGGGTAAATAGACACCACACATGTCAAGCCTTAAAATTGCACGCGCCCACAAAATTGCAAAAAAACAACCACACCAAAAATGTGCCATAGGCGACGCTTTAAACGCTTTCACTGCTCATCAGTTTAGTGTTATCAGTGATTAATGGACCTAATGAGGGGGCTAAGAAGCCCCTATGTGATAGCTAAATTACATGACAGGTCCTCTTTATGGAGACATCAGGGGTCTCCAAGACCCCTAATGTCACCTAGGGACCCCCCGAGAAGCTGATGAAGCAGACATCTGGAGAGTGACAGCTGAGTGTGGAATGCACTTCCTGCATTCGGGGACCGGAGAGGAGATCAGAGGAGATCGTGTGCCGACCTCCCTTTAATCTCCTGTCACAGAGCAGCCGCACTGGGCACAGCGGATCTCGGGACTGGCAACGGCAGTAACAGCGGCTGCTAATACAAGCGATCGGGCATCTCTAGAGACTCCCGATCGCTTTAATGGAAAGCTCCCAGCCGGCCATTTAATTACAACGGCTGGCTGTGAAGTTACTCGTCTGCGCTCTGCCGTCCTCTCGTCACAGATTTCTCAAGCCCTGTATATGATGATCCTGGATCAAGCACTTCCTGCTTTGGGATCACAATGCTTTGTCCTTGTCGCCAACTTGTGCTCTTGTGTTGTCACCCAGCAGCTGGTCCTTTTTTTTTCAGGCACTTCCTATTATAGGGTGACAACTGTCTCCCAATTATGCTCCTATGTTGTCACTCTGTCACTTGTGTCCCTGGTGGAGACTACAAGTGCCATGCTGACTGTATGGTATGGTCCACAGCTGTCACTATCAGGAAGTCCAGCCAGAGGAATGATGTGTAGCCCATGCTGGGGCAAATAAATGTAGACAGGAAGTGGCTGAGAGAGGCTTGAGGAGATCAGCAGATGCCAAAAAGGGTTGTTTTAGCAAATGAAATGTTCATTTAGAGTTTACATCTACTTTGAAACCCCCGCGCCTATTGTTTATGGGTTTGTTACAGATGATTCTATGTGTATTATTTATCTCATGATTACCCCCCTATTGCGGTGTCTTCGTTGTGTTTGCATGCTACAATTTTCTATTTATGGGATCCAGAAAACACAATCTTTCTTTCAGGCTGCGTATGATACATATGTAACCGCAGTAAACGCATTTACAACACTTCAGCCTGAACAGTGCTGGATGTGTTGCTGCGGCCACAATGCTTTCGTTGCAGCAAAAAATATACAGCATGTCGCATTTGGCAGGCGGTGCTGCTTCTCAAACATGACCATTGCAATGAATGTAGCCCAACTACTCCTTCACCTGATCACTTGTACAATATAACCCTACTACTGCTTCATCCGGTACAACCACCCGATCACTTGTACAATATAACCCTACTACTGCTTCACCCGTTACAACCACCCGATCACTTCTACAGTATAACCCTACTACTGCTTCACCCGGTACAACCACCCGATCACTTCTACAGTATAACCCTACTACTGCTTCACCCGTTACAGCCACCCGATCACTTCTATAATATAACCCTACTACTGCTTCACCCGGTACAGCCACCCGATCACTTCTATAATATAACCCTGCTACTGCTTCATCCGGTACAACCACCCGATCACTTCTACAATATAACCCTACTACTGCTTGACCCGGTACAACCACCCGATCACTTCTACAATATTCCCCTACTACTGCTTCACCCGGTACAACCACCCGATCACTTCTATAATATAACCCTACTACTGCTTCACCCGGTACAGCCACCCGATCACTTCTATAATATAACCCTGCTACTGCTTCACCTGATCACTTCTACAATATAACCCTGCTACTGCTTCACCTGGTACAAAAATAGACAAGCTCACGGCTGCTATTGTGGTCACGAGTTTGTTTATATGCCACGGCTTCCACCCAAATAGTAGTTAACGTCAGTGGAAGAGTTCAAATAGAATGCATAACTAGTTCAAGGAAGTGCGTTGTTTCTTCAATAATTTCCAAAAGATTTTGCAAAAAAGTCCCCAAAAATCTGCCCACTCTGTTTACATCAGACATTGGTGAGCGATAAAGCTGTGTGCGGCCCTGCACCCTTTGTGTGAATGCGAGTCTGGGGATGACCTGACCTCTGATACCGTTTCCCAACAATTTGTGGTGGAGTATCTCACATGCTTTTGGTTTCTGTTTACTCTTTTCTTTTTTTGCACTTTGTTCTGCTTTTGTCACTACTGTGAAAAGTGAGTTTAGTATCTGCGACTGTATCAAAGTATCAGTGGCCTTCATCAAATATCACTAGAAAGAGTGTTGGTTTAAACCAGGGGTAGCCAAACTTTGGGGCGAAGCTACAAATGCCACGAGGCATTACAAGCCTATGACGGCCGCAGGTATGACTTCAGGAGGCATGATGGTATTTTTAGTTTCTCCACAGCTGGTCTACACCCTGCATGGCCTGTTTTTTGTTAAGTTGGGTAAATTCTACGAGTGAAAAGCTGGGATGAGATTTGTATGAGTAGGACCAAGGGTGCCAAAAACATGTTTCGCGACTTCAGGGCTCTTCCTCAGATATATGGCGTGGCTACAGACCATAACGGCTGAATCAGTCCAGTCATCAGTGGCGGTCCATCCAGTACAGATTATTTGTCACTGATGACCGGACTGATTGAGCTGACGCTGTCTGTAGCCACGCCATATATCTGAGGAAGTGAGCTGGAGTCAGGAAACGCGTTTGCGTGTTTAAATCAATATATACTACTGTATCCACAGCCCTTTGTCATCAAGACTTTGATTACACTAATCTACAGTGCCAACACACCCTCATGGGCACCTCTGTGACACTTCTCATTGACGGGTTTTTCTACATAAACATGCAGCATCCTGATGTCTCAGATTGGGCACCCCGGAGCACTGAGTGACCACCTTTACCTGTGTGGGGACACTGGTATCCCCCACAAGCTGCTTTAACCTGATGTAGTACCATGATCACTATTGTTACTTACCTACACAATGTAAGGCACCCAACTTATGTTCTTCATACCTTGTGCCTCTTAAAGGAGAACTATGGAGTTAAGGCTTTTCCCCATAGTTCTTCTTAGGGTAACGGGAGGACCCAAACTTGCATCCTCCCGTCACCCTAGGCTCCGTATACCGCGAGCTACAGGATACTGAGACGCCGCAGTATACCGCGAGCTGTAGTTTGCGGTATACTGAGAAGCTGCGGCTGAAGCGGATGCCGACAATTGTGCCGAGATCCGCCCAGCTGCGTGACTGACAGCTGGCTCTGCCTATCTAGAGGCAGAGCCAGGTGTACCCTCCCCCGTCCGTTCCACCAGTCAGCGCTGGCCGATCGGAGCGGGAGGGGGGAATCCAACAGGATCGAAGAGGTGAGCGAGCGCTGGTATGTGTTCGCTCACTTCCCGATCTACTGAGCCGACCTGTGATAGTCTCTTTGTCACAGGTCGGCTAGAACTATGAGGTAAGTGAAAAGCACTCACCTCATAGTTCTCCTTTAATGCTACACCATAAGGCAGGACTGGACAAATCGCAGGAGCAAGGAAGCCAATGCTGCTTGGGCCTGGTTCACACGTAGGCGGCACAGTTTTTGTGCGTGTTTAGCGTGCGGTTATTTGCGCATACAACAGTCTATAAAACGGACATACGTCAGGCCCACATGGTACTACTTGGCACCTGGGTTAACTCTTTTTTTTGTTTGTGGGTACGTAAGAAAAACAGAAAATGTGATGCCACTTTTAATGATGCAGAGACGCCCGGTGTTCTATCGAAAGCTCCAACTCGTCGAAATCTCCAACTACCTCTCTTCCGGGTACTTGCAAGTTGGAGATTTCGACGAGGCGGCGTTAGACTGCAAAACAGAAGGACTGACGGAGCTCTGTACAGCTGCAGTTTAACAATACTCAGCAGGTGGCAAACTCGACGAGTATTGTAAAAAAAGGTTTGCACGCATGCGCACCGTGACTGTACAGAGCTCCAGTCTTTCTGATCATGGGAAGTGAGGTAGTTGGTGATCTCGATGAGTTGGGGGTTTCTTTAGAACGCCGGGTCTGAGCTGATTGCTGGTTATCCTAATCATGTTTTTTCTTTTTTCTTTATAACAGATGAGCAGCAACAGTAATAAAAGAGCACCAACAACTGCAACACAACGATTAAAGCAAGACTATCTGCGCATCAAAAAAGACCCAGTGCCTTATATCTGTGCTGAACCCCTCCCTTCAAATATTTTGGAATGGTGAGTTCTCCATGATACCTGACATGTACAGCTTAGGTTGGTTGGTTTGCTACTTGGTAAAGGTATACCCTAATCCAGTGGTTCTCAACCTGTATAACCTCAGGACCCACATTTGTCCTTGTTCATTAAGTCGCGACCCAAGTCGCACTGCCATGGAATGCACAACATTGCGGTACCGCACGTTCCGTGCGATCGAATTGTGGGTGGGAAGTGCGTTTGGGGTCCCATTCAAAAGATCCACCCAGTCTCCATACCTTACAAGAATTGATAGATAGATAGATTTATTTGTCACATACACAATCGTACAAGTATGATATGCAGTGAAATGCTTACACGACTGCAAAAGAAGAAAGAAAGAATACATTTTAAATAAAACTTTTACATTGTAAAATAAATATGTGTTAAATGTAAATATTAAAATTTAAATTTGACTAAAAATGCTAATACAATATGGAATGTAAGTGTGCAAATGCCAACAGCAGCAATACGGGGTAAAATGAATTAAAGTGATGACCAGCAGTGAATTGACCTTTCCTTGACCATTTTCTTTTAAAGTGCGGATGTGCAGTAATGTGAGAATACTTATCTAATCAGGCAGTAGATTATATGACTATATAGAGGTCTGATTAAGAGACCGTATAGCCTGAGGGAAGAAACTTCTCCTCAGTCTCTCTGTGTTGGCCTTCAGGGAGCGATAACGCTTCCCAGACCTCAACAAAGAAAAAAGTCCATTGTTGGGATGGCTGAAGTCCCTCATAATCTTCCTGGCCTTGGTCCAGCACCGCTTGCTATAGATCGAATTCAGGTCAGGGAGTTTAGTTCGGATGATTCTCTCAGCTGCTCGCACCACCCTCTGAAGAGCTCGTCTGTCCTGCACGGTGCTGTTCCCAAACCAGGTAGTGGTGTTTCCCATCAGGATGCTCTCTATGGTGCAGGAATAAAAATTTCTAAGCACCCTAGCGGGCAGTCTGAAGTCCCTTAAGCGTCTAAGATGGAACAGACGCTGCCGAGCCTTTTTCACCACGGTGTTGATATGACAGGACCATGACAAGTCCTGCGTAATATATACACCGAGGTATCTGAAACTATCCACTCTCTCCACTGGGCTTCCATTGATCATGGGGGTCTGGTATTTTCTCTCCTGCTTTTTACAGAAGTCCACTATCAACTCCTTTGTCTTGCTGACATTGAGGAGGAGGTTGTTCCTCTGGCACCAATTCTCCAGATTCCTAATCTCCTCCAAATAGGCCGTCTCATTGTTGCCGGCAATCAGACCGACCACAACAGTATCATCAGCAAACTTGATGATAGTAGTAGAGTTGGTAGTGGCCATGCAGTCATATGTGTACAATGAGTACAGCAGGGGGCTCAAAACACAACCCTGCGGGGCCCCAGTGCTGAGGGTGAGGGAGGCTGAGACATATCTGCCCATTCTTACTGCTTGTGGTCTGCCAGTAAGAAAGTTGGAGATCCACTGACACATAGATGGGCTAATCCCCAGATGTTTCAACTTGGTGGTAAGTATGGAGGGAATTATAGTGTTGAACGCTGAACTGTAGTCAACAAACAACATCCTGACATAGTTGCCCTTCTTAGTGTCTAAGTGTGTGAGCGATATATGAAGGAGGTGGGTGATAGCATCATCTGTTGAACGGTTTGGCCGATAAGCGAACTGTAATGGATCTAGTGTGTTTGGTAGTGAAGATATGATGAAGTCTCTGACCAGTCTCTCAAAGCACTTCATCACTACTGGAATTGGAGTTGATCCTCAGCCTGGGGTCCAGTGTGGGCTGCTGTGCTGTGACAGAGCTTCATCCATATGTGCATTGCTTGTACAGTTCCCTTTGCATGTCCTATAGAGGTGCCGGGAGCCAGAATGTGACATTACTCTGGTCCAGGCACCTCAGCAGGCCACATGAGGGAGCTGTACGTATGGATGCAGCTCCCTCGCGGCCATAGCCCCAGCCCATCCCACTTCAAGCTGACACTCTGCACCGGGCAGCATATTTTAAATGGCTGTTTGGCCAGTGCTGCAAAAGGAGGAGGCTGAGGAGCCTCATTAGAAAAGTGGAAGACATGTGGCGACCCACTGAACATGGAGTCGCGACCCACTTTTGGGTCACGACCCACCAGTTGAGAACCTAGGCCCTAATCCATGCTGAAAATGAAGGCATGGAATGTATACAGCAGGGTGAGCCTAACTGCCTAGGACTTTTTATCTGGTAGGTGTTGCTGTTGTGCACCCGGCCTCCCTCCTTCCAAAAACCACCTTGCTGCTGGTAGTCTGGTGTTCTGAGAACACTATATAACTTACTGGCTTTTTTGAATGTTTGGATGTTCCTGACCCAGCCCACTTTGTTAGACAGACCTTCTTCCCAAGTGCCAGCTCATTGCTTACATCAGGGCTGAGGGCTCTTGTTAGGAGTACTGTGATGTTTTTCAGAAGCTCCCTGCCGGCCCCTCCTGCCAGCAACAAGCTACCTTCATTGCATAGAGAAGCACAGAGGCCTAAAATAAGGGATTTCATGAAATCGGAAAAGTTTTATTCAAAAATCAATTGACATGTTGATGGAGGAACCGGGGGAGGCAAAAGAAGATTAAAATTCAGCTTTAGAGTTCAGGGGTAGTTATGGTCTAATGCTACCAGTTTTTTATGGGATGTTTCCTCTGCGTTCGTGGGATGTTTCCTCTGCGTTCGTGGGATGTTTCCTCTGCGTTCGTGGGATGTTTCCTCTGCGTTCGTGGGATGTTTCCTCTGCGTTCGTGGGTACTACCATATGGAGGTTGATGTAAATGGTGATGAGAACGTCTGTTGCCCTGCATTGACTTGTACACAGCAGATGTGCTAATGTCACTGTTCAGTGCATCCTGTACGCAGTATCCAATCTGCTCCAATGTACCTCTTGTGAATGTAATGAGATCCAAGTAACATGAAGGTGTCGCTGATTGTCCATGTACACTCCGCCAACAAAGGTCATGGCAGTCACCTCTTGCCAGCAGCAACATCTGTATCCTGGAAGATCGTACACACAGGGTTACCACACTCCTTTATTGGCCTTCAGTAGTTCTAGAAGAGGACATGATGGCGACATAAAATTGTGTTCTGTCTTCATGTGTTTGCTGACATTGTCATTAATGAATTAGTATAAATGTTTCCCTTGATGTCTCCTCCCCTAAACAAATAATACGAATAGGGCTGCTGATGTTATTGGTTTATACAAGCGGTGATGAATCCATTCTTTCCGGAAGACACCAATGGATTTCTTGCTGCTACTCCTAGTATAGCATTCAGTGATCGTGTCCTGTATCTTGCCTCTACGCCTAGTACAGCATTCAGTGATTGTGTCCTATGTATCTTGCCTCTACGCCTAGTAGAGCATTTGGTAATTGTGTCCTATGTATCTTGCCTCTGCTCCTAGTACAGCGTTCAGTGATTGTGTCCTATGTATCTTGCTTCTACTCCTAGTGTAGCATTCAGTGATTGTGTCCTATGTATCTTGCTTCTACTCCTAGTATAGCATTCGGTGATTGTGTCCTATGTATCTTGCTTCTACTCCTAGTATAGCATTCGGTGATTGTGTCCTATGTATCTTGCTTCTACTCCTAGTATAGCACTCTGTGATTGTGTCCTATGTACCTTGCCTCTCCACCTAGTGATCATTCAGTGATTGTGTCCTATCTATCTTGCTTCTACTTCTAGTATAGCATTGTGATTTGTGTCCTATGTATCTTGCTTCTACGCCTAGTACAGCATTCAGCGATTGTGTCCTATGTAACTTGCTTCTACTCCTAGTAGAGCATTCAGTGATTGTGTCCTATGTAACTTGCTTCTACTCCTAGTATAGCATTCAGTGATTGTGTCCTATGTATCTTGCTTCTACTCCTAGTATAGCATTCAGTGATTGTGTCCTATGTATCTTGCTTCTACACCTAGTATAGCATTCAGTGATTGTGTCCTATGTATCTTGCTTCTACTCCTAGTATAGCATTCAGTGATTGTGTACTATATCTTGCTTCTACGCCTAGTAGAGCATTCATTGATTGTGTCCCATGTATCTTGCTGCTAGTTCTAGTATAGCATGTAGTGATTGTGTCCTATGTCTCTTGCTTCTAGTCTTGGTATAGCATTCAGGGATCGTGTATCTTGCTGCAGCTTCTAATGCACATTATGAGAAGCTCACAGTGTGCAGTGAAATCAGAGGAAGAAATTTCAGTCCATTAAAGGAGTCTTTAAAGCTGAACCTTCGGTATTACACAGGTGTAAACATGCCAGGTTATTAGGGGTTAAATGGCATACATTAATATGGCAGAAGAGGACCTGTAACATATCACACAGATGACTTGTGCAGCGTGTCATTCGTCCTCTGGCTGTATGAAGGCCAGAGAAGAGTTGCATATATGTAAACTCACACGTGGCACAAACAGTCCCAAAGGCCGTGCGTGTGGAAGGTTTGTTTACCTCGCACAAACAGTGCGGCTGTTGGCTTGTCTGACGGCCCATTTTATTGTGTTTCGGCTTCCTCTCCGGTCAGTGTGAGCTCATTCCAGTTACCAATGTGAACCCTACAAGTTTCTGTGCTATAAATTCCTGCGCCAATCTTTTGTAACTATTTTACCTTTTTAATATACATCCTGGTAAAGCGCAGGCACAGCTTGGAAGTGATTGTACTTGTCTTCAGATCAGTTACTTGTGTGCCTGGTTAAAGTGACACTAAACTCTAAATCTGAAAAATGCATTCAAGTACCTCAACTATTAACAAAAATGTATCTTATTTGTGTAACACTCGCCTATAGATCCTCCAATCATCTCTGAATTAGTGCTGACACTGTCCTTCCTTCTGGAGGGGGGCTACTTTTGTTCTCCATGGTCCCTGTGTGTGTTGTAAAGTAGTCACTGCTCCAAGCTCACTCCTGTGATGGACTACAATCTCATGTTTAGTTTACTAATTTGTATTGAGATTGTAGTCCATCACGGGAAGGAGCTTGGAGTGGTGACTACTATACAGCACGCACGGGGAGCATGGGGAACAAAAGTAGCCCCCCTCCAGAAGGAAGGACAGTGTCAGCACTAATTCAGAGATGATTTGAGGATCTACAGCCGAGTGATACACAAATAAGATTCAGCTTCATAAATCAAGTATGTCAACTCACCAGCAACGGTATTGTAATAGAGCAGAGAAAACACTCATCTGCTCCTATGGCGTACCTCCCCTGCTGGCACATCCAGAATCTACCGTGTTTTGGCCAGCAAGAAGGTGATGCCATAGAAGCAAGCAAGAGACCTAACCCCACACTTTGGGCTGGATTCTCTTTGTGGGCACAGGTTAATTATCTGGAATTATTTTTTTCTATTGGCTGTATAGATAAAAAAAATAATAATAATTCCAGCTGATTGGGAAAGGAGAGATGATGTCATACTGAACACAGGCTGCAGATCAGACTTGTGAAGGTAAAGGGGATTGTTACACAGAGTTTTCTCCGCTGTTACCTAGAGATTTCTAAGGATCTGTGCTATGAGAGGAAGCAATACACCGCTTAGAACAACCTCCATGTGCAGGTACTGTAAGGTCTCGTTCACACCTAGGCGTATTGCATATGCGCGTCTGTCGCGCGTTTTTTTCCCCGCGATTCGCAGTAAAAAAAGTTGCGCGTTTCCGAAGGCTACTTGGCTGTATCCCGATGGAAACGCGCAACAAAACGGCCCAAAGTAGTACCTGTACCTTTTCAGGCGTGGGCCGTTTTGTAGCGCGTTAGGGACGGGCGGAAATACGCCAAGGTGGGAACGAGACCATTGAATACAATGGGATTTATATTTTTGAGCGTTTTGTAGAGCGTTCGTCGAGCGTAGAACGCGCTACAAAACGCTCAGGTGTGAACGAGGGCTTAGATGGATTAGTACGAGACATGGCATGGGTCACTTGAAGATATTAGAAGAGCAACTCCAGCTAAAACTTTTTTGGGGAACAGTGAATGACTCTATTAGTTATTTTTCACTGCAATCTGTTTCTCCTTCATTTTCTAGGGCTCATATATAGTTGTGAATGTTATGGGAAGCCATTTCTCAAAATATCCCTTATTTTGTTTTAAGATAATGATGTTTTAAGTACAACTGACTGTTTCTATTCATTTCTTTAGGCACTATGTGGTTCGAGGTCCTGAGATGACCCCTTATGAAAATAGGATTATTATTATTATTATTATTATTATTATTATTATTATTATTATTACAGGTATTT